AGTTTTCCCATATTGTGACTGACCAAGAGGAGTCTCACTGCTATTAAACAAACAGGGGATGAGATTCAACAGTTGAGTACAATAATCTTCATTTGGGTTCACCTGAAAGTAAGACTTAGCACCAGACTCTACATTGTAAAGAATTTCCTGGTCCATCAGGGTTTCCATGTAAATAAACAAAATAATTCCGTTTTAATACTTGGATGTCTCCTGAGGTCAAAGACTGAAGTTCAGGTTCTTTCTTGGTGTAATGCCAGTTTTCCATCCTCTTTATGCCAGACTCTGCATTGTTTTTCTAATTTATACAATAAAATGCTGTTTGTTGAAAGAAGATCACTAGAGGGTTTGTGGGAGCCCCTCAAATACTTCATTCATTTTTAATGGGGTACTTGACATCCCACAAAGTTCACACACATGAGGAAGAGATTGCACAGTGCAAACTGGTGAAAAAAAAATCCATTTTCTATCCCTCCAGGAGCATGCTGATAACATGAGGTGACTAGTACATAGTATATTTCATAGGACAGCTTTGTAAATGGTCATGCCTTTTAGCACAAAACAAATTAAAACATAATCATAACCCCAGTACCACTGTTATCACTGGGTGGCATTCTTCATGATTAAATGTATAGCACATTCTTTCTAGGCATGCCAGGGTAAAAGCTGCCAAATTCACAATGGCAATTTATTTCAAGTTTTCAAAATAAAAGTGATGTACCAAAAATTTGTTTTTAATGTATCAACTTTTTATTTTTTCTCATGCACTTATTTGATGCACTGTTTATTAGCAAAATTGACATTGCCCTTGGATGTCCATAACACTGGCTATAAAATGGGGTAATTATATCTAGTTGACAACATATCTAAAAGGTTTAATATTTTAGCTACACTTTGAAAATTTGTATGGTTTGAATGTTTTTTTATAATATTGTCTCAGAGGTTAAAAATGTATTAAAAATGTAATTTTTATAATATTGTCTCAGAGGTTCATTTTGGTTTTTTTGGAATTTTTGTTTTTCTTTCCAACTTTTATTTTAGGTTGAGGGGGTACATGTGCAGGTTTGTTACATGGGTAAATTGTGTGCCATGGGGGTTTGGTGTACAGATTATTTCATCACCCAGGTAATGAGCATAGTACCCAATAGGTAGTTTTTCAGTCCTCACCCACTCCTGCACTCCACCCTCAAACAGGCTCCAGTGTTTATTGTTTCCTTCTTGTGTCCATGTATATTCATCATTTAGCTCCCACTTATAAGTTAGAACATTTAGTATTTATTTTTCTATTCCTGCATTAATTCATTTATGATAATGGCCTCCAACTCCACCCATGTTGCTACAAAGAACAGGATTTCATTCTTTTTTATGGCTGCACAGTATTCCTTAATGTATATGTAACGCATTTTCTTTATCCAGTCTACCATTGATGGGCATTTAGATCGATTCCATGTCTTTGTTATTGTGAATAGTGTTGCGATGTGCATGTGTCTTTATGGTAAAACAATTTATATTCCTTTGGGTATATACCCAGTAATGGGATTGCTGGGTCAAATGGTAGTTCTGTTGTAAGTTCTTTGAGACATCGCCAAACTGCTTTCCACAGTAGCTGAACTAATTTACATTCCCAACAGCAGGGTATAAGCACTCCCTTTCCTCTACTACCTCACTAGCATCTGTTATTTCTTTGCTTTTTAATAATAGCCATTCTGGCTGGTGTGAAATGGTGTCTCACTGTGGTTTTGATTGGCATTTCTCTAATGATTAGTGATGTTGAGCATTTTTTCATAGGCTTATTGGCCACGTGTATGTCTTCCTTTGAGAAGTGTCTATTCATGTCCTTTGCCCATTTTTTTATTGGGGTTGTTTGTTTTTTGCTTGTTAATTTCTTTAAGTTCCCTATAGATTCTGGATAGTAGACCTTTGTTGGGTGCATAATTTGCAAATATTTTCTCCCATTCTGTAGGTTGTCTGTTTACTCAGTTGATAATTTCTTTTGATGTGCAGAAGCTCTTTAGTTTAATTAGGCCCCATTTATCTATTTTTTGTTGTTGTTATTGCAACAGCTTTTGGAGTCTTTGTCATGAAATCTTTGCCAGGGTCTATGTCCAGAATGGTATTTCCTAGGTTTTCTCCTAGGGTTTTCATAGTTTTACGTTTTACATTTAAGTCTTTAATCCATCTTGGTTTAATTTTTGCATATGGTAAAAGGGAGGGATCCAGTTTTAATCTTCTGCATATGGCTAGCCAGTTATCCCAGCATCATATATTGAATAGAAAGTCCTTTCCCTATTGGTTGTTTTCATTGACCTTGTTGAAGATCATTTAGTTAGGTGTACGGTTTTATTTCTAGATTCTTTAACCTGTTGGTCTATGTGTCTATATACCAGTACCATGCTGCTTTGGGTACTGTAGCCTTGTAGTACAGTCTGAAGTTGGGTAGTGTACCTCTGGTTTTTCTTGTTGTTTGGGTTTCTTGTTTTTGTCCGTTTGTTTTGCTTAGAATTGCTTTGGTGTTCAGGCTCCTTTTGGTTCCACATGAATTTTAGAATAGTTTTTTTTTTAATTCTATAAAAAATATCACTGGTAGTTTGATAGAAATAGCACTGAATCTGTAAATTGCTTTGGGCAGTGTGGCCATTTAACAATATTGATTCTTCCTATCCATGAGCATGAAATGTTTTTCCATTTGTTTGTCTTCTCTCGATTTCCTTCACCAGTGTTTTGCAATTCTCGTAGAGAACTTTTACCTCTCTGGTTAGCTGTATTCCTAGGCATTTTATTTTTTTGTGGCAACGGTGAATGAGATTGTATTCCTGACTTTGCTCTCACCTTGGACATTGTTGGTGTATAGAGATGCAACTGATTTTTGTGCATTGATTTTGTATCCTGAAACTTTGCTAAAGTTGTTTATAGGTCTAGGAGCCTTTGGGCAGAGACTATGGGGTTTTCTAGGTATCAAATCATGTCATCTTTACAGACAGAGTTTAATTTCCTCTCTTCCTATTTAGATGCCTTTTCTTTCTCTTACCTGATTGCTCTGGCTAGGACTTCCAGTACTATGTTGAATAGGACACATTCTTACCTTGTTCTGGTTCTCAAGGGGAATACTTCCAGCTTTTGCCCATTCAGTGTGATGTTGGCTGTGGATCTGTCATAGATGGCTCTCATTATTTTGAGGTATATTTCTGTGATGTCTTGTTTGTTAAGGGTTTTTAACATGAAGGGAAAATGAATTGTATCAAAAGCCTTTCTGCATCTATTGAGATGATCATGTGGTTTTTGTTTTTAGTTCTGTTATATTCAGTTACAAGTCAAATCATTATGGAATGTCCAAATATTCTCCCAACACTCTAGTTTAATGGTGTTGAATATCATTCAAAATAAATAGGCCATTTCCTAAATATTTTGAAATCTATTCTTAAGGTTTCAATTTACTGTAAAGAAACCTAATATATGAAAAGCCAGATTTACAGAAAGGATAAATTGGAGAGGGGATGTTATTTACATTTTCTTATGGAGTTTACCACAGGATTCCTTCACAGCAAATCCCTGTGATGAAATGGAGAACCCACGGGTCTTAAGTGGGGTTCCTACCCCTACGTGCTTTGAGGAGTTTTCTTCTGTCAGCTTTTGAGGGATCAAAGAAAAGGATTTATTACTTTGGCAAAGAGTGAACTTTTCTCAGTCTTTCCTGACTGCCAGGATCTGCATTTAAGAGCACGTCCAAGAGTCTGAAGCAAGTAAGCCACCAATCTTTGCACTCTGTGTGAGGAAGGGCACCATTGTCAGTTTTCCACAACCTCAGGTCTTCTGTTCTCAGCCTTAGGTAAGAGGTATTCTTTTCTCAGTCAGTGGCCTCACCAGCATTACCAGGGCCAAGACTTTCTCATGGTGTTAGGTACACACCTTCTTTTCAATGGAGTCTACACCTCATGGAAAGAATATGAGTGTTGGATTCTGAATCCCAATCCTGACTCCACCACTTAATAGCCAAGTGACTTCAATATTCTAGAGCTCCCATTTTTCCATCAATAATGGGGGTGACAATATCCAACTCATTGCAAAGTGGGAGGTTAGGTTAAATGTTGGTAAACCATCCAGTGTTGGGCCTCATATGTAACAGATTAACAAATGGGAGCTTCAATGATGACAGCAATTATCCTGGATGTTTCCTAATGGTCTCTTCTTTCTCTTGTCCAGTTTTGTTTGCTTGCTTCCTTGTTTTCTTATCTGCTTTTAATGTTCTTCCAGTAGGCTTTCAGTTGATCTAGAGGTCCTTTCTCTTAGCCTGCATTTACCCACATGTCTTACTCTCCTTCTTCCCCAGCTAGCTCAGTAGGTCGGAATTCCCATCCTCCTCAACAGAAATCATCACTACGTTTTCCTAAACCCCATCTGGAGCCAGACACTATTTTCACAGAACAATAGTACATCTGCTTGTCATTACAGTTCAGCTCCCCTGGCTGCAGCCAGGCTGAACAGGATGCCAAACCCACAATGACTTCTTAGGAAAAGGGACTCTGTCAAAGCTTCTCTGTACATTGAAAATAAAATTTGATTTATAAAACCCTCACTACACAGGTAACTTTCAGGAACAAATCTGTGGTTCTTGAAAGGTAACGCTCATAGGTTTAAAAAGAAGTTCTAAACAATATTTGTCCTTATACTGAGCCTTTGCCTGGATAGGAAAGGGGACAGGAATAAAGGTAACTAACATTTATTGTCTATTTTGTGTCTTAGTGCTGTGCTAAGTGTTTTGCAACCATTATGTTACTTAATTTTCATAACTATCCTCATAAAATAAGGATAATTATCCTCACTTTACAGTGAGGAAACTGAGATTCCACCAGGTTAGCCCAAGGAATAAAGCTAGTCAGTGGCAGAGCCAAGACAGAAATTCAAACCTGTCTCACCAATACAGAATGGTATCTCATGACAGAGAATGCTTTATGACATATAAAACACAGTAAAACACGTTCTTTCTGCTGGCTTAAATATTTTACCTGGTACTTTGGATCACTGGAGGCTGAAGACCCTCCTAGAGGCAGCAGTGAGAACACTGACACCTTCGGCATGCAGGTGGCTGCAATACTCTGGGGTTGCATAAAGTCTTAAGGATCAGTCTGATCCCTTTCTCATTGCAGAAAGCTCCTAATCACCTGGTTGGGAGACTTTTGATTTATCCCTTATAGTCATACAGAAAGCACTAAACCTGCTGACTACAAGTTAATCCTCTTTTCCTAGAACTGTGCATGGACAAAGGCATGGAAAGACGATGGCCTCCACCATTCAGAGGTGGACAGGCAACAGACCACCTGGGCAGTGGCCCAGGACTCCAGCCTTTTCTGAGTACTATAGCATGATTGGAAGCTCAAATTCAACTGGAAATATAACCTGAGAGTGTAGAAAATTATATTTATCAGGCCTCCTCTCAGGGAGTGTATGTGGTGGAAAGGGATGCTTTAATAATCTTCTTAGGATAAGAGAAAGAGACTGCCAAAGGGTGTGATAATGTTATGGCTGATGAGCCCTCAACTGTGTTCTAATGAGGTAAGGTCAGGATGACAACAGGGCTCTTCTTTGGTAGGGTGAGGTCTGTATATTTGGATCCAGAGCTGGACTACACAGGACAGGCTGAGCACTGTCACCCAGCATTTGTTCATACATTCATTCATTTAGTCAGTCAACACATATGTTTTGAGTGATTACTATTAATATATGTTCTATTTGAGGTACTGGGGATAAAGCAGTGCACAAAACGACAAAAAAGGACCTCAGTCTGGTTTTTCTTTTTTTTTTTTTTTTTGAGGTTTTCACATTTTTTTCCAGCTTTATTGAGATCTTTATGCTAAATAAATATTGAAGAAGACTTAAACTTATCTCATGCCCCCAAAGTAGCTAACTAAGCAAAATGCACAATGCCCTTCATGTTGTAGACTAAAAATGACAGACATAATATAACCAGCAATGTTTTCAAAATGGTTAAAATTGAAAGACAGGCTATCCCAGGTATCAGAAATGCAAAGGAAACATAAAACTGAAGTGGTAACAGTGGCCCAGGGAGGAGACTGGAATAACTACAGGGCCTCATCTGTTAAGTGGTAGGTTTTTAGTATGATGAGTGTCAAGAGACATGGCCTTGGGCTTATGTGAAATAGAGAGCCAGAACTGAAACTCCTAAATAAAGCTGATATGTCAAAGTTACATACCCACAATGAAAGGGACTAAAACATCTGTGCATCAGACCAGGGATGTGACACATAAGCAAGGAGTGTGTCTCTTCCTAGAGATTTTGGGTGAAAAATCAAAAACCCCGGCCCGTGCTTTGCCCAGGTTGAGAGTCCAAATTTATGCCAAAAGATGCTAGAAATTAATATAAAAACTGGTTCCAGACTGGCATATAGCAGAAGCAAATCCAAACCATTCTCTAGGGCACACAGACTTTATAGAAAACAACCCTGCTGAAGATGAGCTCACAAAGCACATGCAGAAATAATCTACATTGAGAGAGAATGAGTCAACAGACTTAAAAATTGGGAGAATTAGCAGGCCCAAAGAGTTGAGATAGTAAAATAATGTGGAACAATCTATAAAATAAGAATGTTTTTAAAGATTAAAGAGAGGAATGAGTAAAAACTATAAGAAAAATACTGAGTACTATGGGGAGAAAGTTAAGATTATCAGTTTGTTGGTGTGTCAAATGACTAATCTGTCATGAATACCAGAATATTTACCTACCTTGAGTGCCCACATGTCTGAGTTTAACTCTGCTTCCATTTTATGGCTCTGTAATTCCATGTTACATTTAGAAAAGAACTATGCAGCAACACAAAGAGCAGAATTAGAAGTATTTTATTAATGTTTAAAAACTCAATTCAATGTATTCGTCTTTCCTTTGAATAACAGAGGACACTAAGAAACAAAGACATCGATGGCATTTATCCTATTGTGAGTCAGAATGAAGGTTGTTTTTAAAACAAAGAACTCCCAAAATACAGAGGTTTAAATAGGGTACATATTTCTCCCGCTCCTAAATAATAGTCAGGCAAGCCTATCTTGGCAAGGCAGCTCTGCTCCACCAGGTCATTCAAGGATTCAGGTTCCTTCTATCTCATTTATCTACTATGCCCCAAGGCATTTTACTTAATCTTCATGTCAAAGCTGGGTCTCAAAAGGGCTCTGTTTCACTTCAGACCAGATCAAATGGGAGCACAGTCCTGTTTTTTAGGCTAAGGTGTGGAAATGGCGCATACTGCTTCCACTGTCATTGCTTGGCCTGACCTCAGTGACATGGCCTTATCCAATTAAAAGCATACCTGGAAAATATAGTTTTTAGCTGAGTAATCATGTGTCCAAACAAAATTCTATTACTCTGGAAGAAGGGGGAAATGAATTTGTAAATCATCTAACAGTGTGTCAAATCTGTAATTCTAGCAAATATGGGGGAGGAAGTAGTTAACTAAGTTTTTAAAAATATATGTTTTAGCCTATCAGTCAATCACAACTCTTTTTCAAAGTCTTGCTATTAGCTCAGCATTGTGAGTAGAAGAAACAAAAAAATGAGGTGGCAATCTAAATAGAAAAGACTATTCACATACATTCATTGAAATATAATTTTTTAAAGTATGCAATTAAGTGCTTAATTGTAAAGATCCATTTCTAATTCCAGGCCTATATTTTCTTCCACACTCTTCCAACATGATACTTTCACATGTGACTTTTCCTAAAATTTGTTCCGTATGACACCCCCAAGCCAGAAACCGGAAAGTCACACTGACTTCTCTCTCTTTCCCCCACCCCATAATCAGAATGTCATCCATTTCTATTGGTTCTACCAACAAAATTCCCACTCATCTCTCTTCTTGCTTCTTTTCTAGCTCAAGCTCTCATAATTATTTCTTGCAAGGATTATTGCACAGATCTTAAAAACTTCCATTCTCTCTCCCCTTCTAACTATCCTGTATATTGTTTTTTGAGTGATCTTTCTAAAACAGGTTTATCCATCTGTCTATCTACTGTCTACTTTGTGCCAGGCACTGCTCTAGGTGTTTGAGATTCAGCAATAAACAAAACAGATAAAGATGCCCTCATGAAGCTTACGTTTTAGTAGAGGGACACAAAGAATAAATGATATACAAAGTAAATGAATACATTATGAAAATATATTAGAAGGTGATAAACATCATGGAAAAAGGAAAAAGTAGAGCAAAGTAAGAGGGATTGACAGTGTTGATGCGGGGAGGGGGATGGCTGGCCAGGACTCAGATTTATTGATCAGAAAGTTCATTAAATGAGAAGATAACACTTAAGCCAAGAAGAAGAAGGGAGTTGGCCATGAAGATCTGAGCATAGAGAATTTTAAGAGGTATGGCTGAATTGAAGATATGTGGTAGGAGCCCTACCATCATGTTCCAGAAACAGAAAGGAGGCCAGTGACTTTGGAACAAAATGAGCCACTGTAGACAGCAATGGAATCAGAGAGAACTGCAAGGACTTTGGTGTTCACTTTGTATCATGAGACAACAAGTTTTTGAACAGAGGAGTGACATAATCTGACTTAAGTGTTTAAAAAGACCACTCTGTTGTACTGAGAGTAGATTATTGGCCAGGTGTGGTGGCTCATTCCTGTAATTCCAGCACTTTGGGAGGCCAAGGCGGAAGATCACTTGAGGTCAGGAGTTCGGGAATAGATTATTGGAGGAGGGGATGGAGAGGGAGAAGGAAGGGTAGAAGTAGGTGGCCCAGTTAGGAAGCTATATTGTAGGCAAGAGGTGATGGAGGTTTCTACAAGGGTAACAATGGTGAATGACTCTGTTATAATATATTTTGAAAACAGATCCAACAGGATTTGATGTACGATATGAGAGCAAGAGAGAAGTCAAAGATAACATCATGGCATTTGGGGCTAAGGAAAGGAAAGATGGAACACACTGCCATTAGCTGAAATGAGAGACTGAGAGGAGAGCTATGTGGAGTTTGCAGGGGGGTCAGGAGTTTGGTTTTAGAATAATAAGCTTGAGATGTGCATCTAAGTGAGAATGCCAAGTAAGCAGCTGGATATATACACCTGCAGTTCAGGCAGGTCTGGCCTGAAGATATGATAAAAAATGCAATAATTGCATACGTGCAGGCACTGTGCTAAGCATTCTACATATGTAACTTATTTAATCCTCACAACAACCCCAAGAGGTAGCAGGAAATATTATTATCTCTTATTTCACAGGTTGGGAAACTGAACCACATAGAGGTTAAGGAACTTACCTGAGGTCACGAGAATAGTTTGTGGAAGAGCCATGATTTGAATGCAGGAATATAAGTGCCAGAATGCATGCCTTGAGCTACAATGCTACAGCCCAGGTAATATTAATAAACTCAGGAGTCTTTAGCATGTGAATGATATTTAGTTATGAGTCCAGGTGAGACCACCAAGGGAATATAACAGAGAAAAGAGAGTCTGAGGAATTTGTTTAAAAGTAATATGGAGTGGATGGAGGGAAGTAGGTAGGAGAATAGATGAATAAGGTTGGCTCTAAGTAGATAAATACTGAAGCTGGGAAATGGGCACAAGGAGTTTCATTATACTTTGCTGTCTAATATATGTATGGCTAAAATTTTGCATAATGACAGGAGAAAAACGAAGACAGAGGGATGAGGAGGAACTATTAAAGGAGGCCAAGAAAGAGCGCCACTGAAACAGGAACAAAACCAGGAGCATGCTATCCTGGAAATCAAGTGTCCTGATTGTCTATTGCTGCATAACACACCCCCAAAAATCTATGGCTTAAAAATATAACAATTATACACAGTATAGAGATTCCTCAAAAAACTAAAAGTAGAACTGCCATATGATCCAGCAATCCAACTTCTGGGTTTATATCCAAAGGGATTGAAATCAATATGTCAAAGAGATACCTGCACTCTCATGTTCATCACAGCACTATTCACACTAACCAAATTATGGAATCAACCTAAATGTCCATCAATAGATGAATGGATAAAGAAAATGTGGTACATAGACACAATGGAATACTATTCAGCCTTTAAAAAGAAGGAAATCCTGTCATTTGCAACAACATGGATGAAACCAGAGGACATTATGCTAGACGAAATAAGCCAGGCACAGAAAGACAAATGCTGCTTGATGTCATGTATATGTGGAATCTAAAAAAATCAAACTCATTGAAGTAGAAGAGCAGAATGGTGGTTACCAGAGGCAGGGGGTGGAGAGAGGGGAAATGGAGCTGCCAGTCAAAGGGTACCAAGTATCAGTTATACAGAAGGAATGAGTTCTGGAGGTCTATTGTGCAGCATGACCACTATAGTTAATAATAATGTATTGTATTCTTGAGAATTGCTAAGAGAACAGATTTTAAGTGTTCATACCACCAAAAAAAATAAATACATGAGATGATAGATATGTTAATTAGCTTGATTTAATCTATAATGTATACATATACCAAAACATCACAGTTGTGCTCCCTAAATATTATTTGTCGATTAAAATTTTTATCTAAAAATAACCACCATTTATTTTATTCAGAAATCTGCAATTTAAGCAGGGCTCAGCAGGGACCTGTCGTCTCTGCTCCTGTAGCATTGACCATCAACTGGGGTGACTCTCCTGGGCCTGAGGACGCCTCTCTAAAGTGGTTCATGTACGTGGCTGGCAGACATCAGCTGGGGGCTCAGCCAGGGCAGGCCTATCTCTAATCTTCGGTTAATCCCCAGATTGACTAAAGATAAGTAGTGCAAACAAGAATTACTTGAAACTTCTTCAAGCATGTGCCTTACTCTCAACTGACAAATGACCCTTCAGAGAACACTAAGAAAGGTTCCTCTCATGCTGGGACTGTTTCCTTTACAGCAATGACAGGAAGTGAGGAGAAAACATTTGTTATTTAGGTATTTGTCAATGCCAGGAGAGCCCCCTGAACTTTACAGCAAAAAAACAAACAAACAAAAAACTCTGAATGTGTTGTTGTTTCTTTTCTAATAAATTTCATTATGTATATTTGGGGCTTAGGATATATTATGGGACACATATAGATAGTAAAATTGTTACTATAGTGAAACCAATACATATCTATCATCTCATGTAGTTACTCTGCATGTGTGTGACAAGAGCAGCTAAAATCTACTTATTTAACAAAAATCCCTAATACAATTTTATTAACTATAGTCCTCATGTATCACATGATCTCTAGACTTGTTCATCCTATGTATCTGCTATTTTGTATCCTTTGATCTGTATCTCTCCATTCTCCCCACCCCTCACCCATAGTAATTGCTGTTTCATTCTCTATCTCTGTATATTTCAGCTTGAGCTTCTCTTTTTTTGTTGTTTCACATATAAAATAGAGCATACAATATTTTTCTTTCTGTGTCTAGCTTATTTTACTTAGCGTAATGTCCTCAAGCTTCAACCATATTGTGGCAAATGGCAGGACCTCTTTTTAAAGACCGAATAATATTCCAACAACAAATAATATTCCATTTTATGTACACACACATATATATACACACAATGCAATATTATTTATTTACACACATATACACTAAAGTTTGTATTATGGTGTGTGTGTGTGTGTATATATATGCTTCTGTTATGGTATGTATACATTTATATTGTGGTGCATCTGTGGTGTGTGTGTTTATATATATGTATATACATTGTAATTCCTTTATCCTTTCGTCCATCTTTGGGTGTTTGGGTTGTTTCCACATCTTAGCTACTGTGAATAATGCTGCAATGAACATGAGAGTACAGATATATTTACGAGGTAGTGATTTCATCTCCTTTGGGTATATACCCAGAA